CACAAACCGTTATGCAAGGATACAACTGCATTTTGATATTCAGATTCTACTCTCAAACAGATCTTTTCATTGCCTATATAATGAAAACTTGGAAGAACGGAAAAGCACAAAATCTTACTACGCTATCATCATACGTGAACAATTCTATTTGTGAATACTTTGAGAGAAAAGAAACACTGACATAAGAACTTTTGTTAATACACTTCATTGTAAATATTTTGTGTGATACTTGTATTTCATTTGTATATTCTGCTTTCTTAGAAACATTTTGTAAACGCACTTTGTATCAATTTTGTAGACTCAAGAAGACATTGATTGTTGATTTTGGGTTGTAATCAAGTTTTATTATAGTGGATTAAGTCCTTGTTGATAAGGCAAAATCACCTTGGCGAGTGCACAAGAGGTAGCTTGTGTTATAGCGGACCAATATAAAAATAATTATGCCATTATTTTTATTCTTCATTCTCTATTTGTTGTGTTGGGTTGAAAAATTTTTCATTTATAGAAACCAAATTCAACCCCCTTTTTCTTGTGTTTCCCTTCACCTTCATGGGGGATTTCAGCTGTGGGGGATTTCAGATTGGAGATGTTAATTTTGTCTTTAGTTTCAGCATCTAGTCATTTGATTGTATTAAATGGACATTGTAAAATTTTTAAAATAGTGGAAGACTAGGAAATTTCAATGACTTGCCATTTGAAACTTGATTAGGATCAAAGTGAGGCCGAACTCGTTGAATAAGTATAAACCATGATTATATATTCTCTTTCAATATCTCCTTTTATTTTTTTATATAGGTTGCATGTTTAGGTTCTTTATCGCTTTCATAGAATCAAATATTGTTAAATTGATATGTTTATAGCAACTTGTTGTATAAGTTTGGGTATGAAAAATATTAATTCGTCTGGTTTATCTTTCTTGTGATTAATGTTGTTGTAACATATAATATTATAATGATTCACTTATTAATAAATTTTGATTTAGACACCTCATTCAAATTGAATTGATATTGATCAATTCATTGATTTACTAATATTTTCATCATTCCATTTTTCAATACATCGTTTGTACATTGTGAAACATGTGATATTCATCGAATGCATACTCTATCAAATTTTCATTGCCCCATTTTTGAAAAATATGATTTTAATAAAAAAAATTAATTTTTTTTTAAAGGATAAGGTTTATTCAAGCCTTCTTCTAGACCTTTCTCACTTATATTGTCCCATAATAGAAGCGCTTAAGTAAACCAGCCATTCTACACTTGAGAGCATTAATGCGTTATTGGAGTATTTCCTTTTCCTTTCAAAGACGCTCATGGAAAAAAGAATTATTTCCTCTCGAAAACACCAAACACCAAACAGAATGACGCCTAGTGAGTATGATACATCATGTATATTAAATCCTTGAGAAGCATGCGTATTACTCTTCCATAACAAAAGTTCTAAAAACCCTGACTATTCGCGGACCGGGGTAGGAAACAAGAGAGGAGAGAACAACCAGTGGAGTCAACAAAATTCCATTCATAGATCCTGGTTCCTCTATGTATTGATCAAACATTAGATGCTGGCGGACAAGTAGCCACCCCTCTTGAGGAAAATCCAACCCATGGATAATGGTCGAGCTCGTCCGAGCCACAAACGAAGATGATCATAGAGAATCTTCCAACATGAATAAGCTAGGAGAGTCATGTACCTCCACCTACCCCAAGGTAGGCGAGAAAAGAGTAACCAACCCAACAACGAGCCTTACCGTTTAAACCACGTAGTAATCGGGGCATTGGTAGAAACCACCATGAGAGGTATAACGCGAGGACTCCTTTTCATTTGTTACATTACTTTGTAACATTTTATTTCGTCTACAGGCTAATTATAGATAGGTTAGAAAGTAAAACACCAAAAAGATATTGAAGAAAAAAGGTCTATCCCATGTTACTTGCAAATAATTTATGTCTGCCTCTTTTAAGCAGACATCCATCAACAAGTGTGTCTCTACATACCAGTTACCTTATTTCCTTGTTGGCGCGTCTAAAGGGACACTACCATCGATGTAGACATGGCTATCAAAGAGAGATACCAATTTTATTTTTAGGTAAATCTCCTCTTGAGACAAATAATCCATTTTGTAAACATATAATCTAGAATCTGCCAAGAAATGACTCTGAAGCCAAAACTTGGAAAACTTGTTCGAACAATGGTACGAAAACCCAGGATTTATGGTATATATGTTGGCATGCGCCAAAAAAATTTAGGGGGTTTACTTAGAAGTGTCGATCTTTGAAGTGTTTCACGCTCTTTGATTAGAACTCAAACATCTTCGTACACTACCTAAGAGATGTCAGACCTTGGCCCTGTGCCGAATCAGAAGAGTTATATTGAGCTTTAAAGAGAAGTAAGACAAGTGACATGGTCGTCAAACCCTTATTGTATTCACACCAATACTATAAGACCTTGATGTAAGCCCGTCTCATTTGATGCAATTGCAAAAGAGTAAGATATAAATGATTAAATATGTCGATTCAAAATCATTGAAAAGAAAGCACAAACCTATTAAGGAGAATAAACATTAATGAAGGGCAACATCACACTCGTCGTATTTTAAGGGAAAACGGAAACCTATCAAGGAGAATAAACATTCAGGAAGGAAAACATCAAACCTTTTGTATTTTTGCATATCCTCTTGTCTTCTTCAGGGAGAATCACCTCCTATCTTTTGAAGGTTCCACTGTCATAAAGACATGGTTTAAAACACCCTCACGAGCAAAGGAAAAAATGGTATTTAGTGTCTCTTGGTCCACTCATACTGATAATTTATCACATTTCTCCCTCTACACATCATGTTAGTCGTCCTTGATTGTAAGAGATTTGGTTAACACATGAAAGAAGTGAATATAAATGTCAAAGCGAGACAAGGTTATACCTAAGTCTGGTGTTCCTGCTAGTATACACATGAAGTAAGCCACTAATCAACAATAATTTCCTCCATCAAACCCCACATCCTTCTTCTTTAGAAAACCTAATAAAGAAAGAAAGATTGAAAGAAATGGGTGTATGGGCGTTACCTTAAAAGAGGAAAATTTGGGAGGTTAAGCGTTGAGAGAAAGGGCATGAACTGGTTGAAGATGAAGGCATATGCAAGAAACTGGAAATAATAGAAGAAATCATAAACGAATAAGAATAAATAAGAATTTCTCAAAGCCACAAGCAGCGGAAAAAGAGAAGATTAGTAGTCCAAGAACTTCTTATATTCATTTCCACAAAAGTGAATTGTGCAATCTACCACATTAGAAGTGTGAAAGACACCAACGACAGTCAATATCTCATCGATATTTTCCATAACACTTGAGTATCCTAGAATGGAGGGGACATTATTATCAACTAACATAGGGAGACGTGTCAAGATTTCCATGCAAAAAATCGTTGATAAAGAGAAAGATATATTTAATGCATTTGTTCCTAATGCTAATGATGTCTCATTAAGACTATTACTTCTGTTAAACATTTGACCTAGAGATGTATAATGTAAAACCTTCATTCAACATAATAGAAATTAGGGTTTGGGGATAACTATTATGTGTCATTAGCAAGACATATCAAACCTCGAGTTGAAAGGCACGCAAAGTAGGTTGACCTTCGTTCTAATCAGAAGCAAACAATTCCATCCTCCAGCACATTAATCACCGTCCAATTCAATCTGATGGTTGTCCGGACAACACACCGCATCATACACGAGCAGTTTCAAATTCATTATTACTCATACATTATTTATGATTTCTCTCGCCGATTTAAAGGTTTGAGTGTTAACATTGCAAGTCAAATCCTTTGCGCCGCATCGAAAGTATTGATCCACCGCAACAAGACACAACTTCTCCATCTCACCTCACATTTCTAGTTCTTAATCGTGCACTTTTGATTCTCTTCCTATTTGGAAAAGTTTCTCGACTCTGTTGCACTCGATTATTTTTAATGGAAATTCTTTGAAAAGTCTCGAATGAATGAACACACATAAAATTACCTTGTTTATCTTTAAGACAAATCACAAAATTAAAATTTTAAATTATTATAAAATTGTCTCTTTATTTATTAAAGGGTTAAATATGTTTTTGGTCCCTATAAAATTATCAAAGTTTGTTTTTGATCCCTATAAAAAAAATAACGTATTTTAGTCCCTACTGTTAAATCAATGTGTATTTTTGAAGGATTATTTTGCATATATGTTTAGAACGTTATAAAAAGTTCCTCGAAAAAAAAAAAGAACTCAAAATTTGATTTATAAGTTAAAATTTTCATTACATTTATCATTATTTTTTAAAATTTAAAAAATTTATATTTAATTCTTCTCATTTTTAAAAAATTATATAATTTGATAAAGAAACATTTTATAATAATCTGAACACGTATGAAAAAAATTATTCAAAAATTTAAAAATTTAATAATAATTAAATAATTTCTAAAATTTTAAAAAATAGCAAGAAATAAAACTGCATGCATAAAACTTTTGTAAAAACTAAAATATATTTTTTGTTTTATAGAGACTAAAAATTAAATATAAAATATTTATAGAGACAAAAAAAAAAAATTTAATCCTTTGTTAAAAATATAGAGATTTCACCTCTTTAGTGTGAACGAAGAGCAAGCAGTCAAAACCTACTTCAACAAAATGATAAAGTTATTTTTTTTAAAACTTAAATAATACAAAAATCCACCTAACTCCTAATCTTCATTGATTAAAGCACCTACTAGTACTAAAAAAAAATGGCATGCATATTCCTACTACCATTTTCATACGGAATCGACCACCATCTTTTTTACTACTAAAAATAGTATATATCCTTTGAGGTTTGAATCGTTGTGTGCTTGAGCATATATCCTTTGAGGTTTGAATCGTTGTGTGCTTGAGCATTAACTTCAATCTTGGGATCTACCTTGTGTTTTTTATTTGTTGACAAAAGATCTACGTGCAGCAACCGCACTCCAACAACACAAGTGTCTTGTTCATGTTCTTATGATGACATAAACTTCATTGCTGCCATGCGCAGCTTCTTCACAAGCTCCTTTATGCTCAATTTGTACCCTTCACCAACCTATCAAATAATAATAATAATAATAACAACAATATTTAAATACATGACAAAAGTAGTGATGTAACCAAAAAAAATAAAAAATATAGAGAGAAAAATGTTTAGTGGAAGGTAGAGATTGTCCTTTACCTGAGCAATGATAGTAATGTCAAGGATAGAATCACCAAAGGGTAACACACTCGTATTCATAACAAATAATTCTAAACTTTGAATCTCTCCCATCATTTTTACCAAAACTCCCTTCTTCTTTTTGCAATGAATCCGAATTAGCATCTCTTTCTCTAACGCTCTTGCTTCCACTTGTACGAGTGATTCACTCTCGCCACCATCAGCACCTTCGATGTTCTCATCGCATGATGAGGAATCTTCATCGCTACATATGTCTGGTTTATTCAGAACAACCACCGAGTCTGCTTTTGTTTTCTTGTTATGTTCTTCCAAAATTTCCAAACGCTCTTTAAGCTCTTTCACGTATTTAATAGACTCGGCTAATACAGAAGCTTTGTCCATCTAACACATAATAAATTAGTGAGTAGTAGTGTGTGTGAAAGATAATGACAAAAGGGGCATCGAAATTGATTTACCCTGGAGGCCAAGGATACCATCTTCAGAAATATTTGAAGATCTTTTCTAGCTGAAGCTGGAAGTGGCCGGGGGCCAGGGTTTCATATAACTTTGATGTTGAAGTTCTACGGTGGGCTCAGTATGCAGTAGTATTTGGATGTTCGTTATGGTTCTGAGGGAGAACCCCAGATCAGAGTGTGCTCGGCTAAGTCTCTCATTCCCGGCGGAGTAGTTTCAAATACGCAGGTGTACCTTTTGTTCCATTTACCAGGGGTGAACCCCAGGTCAGAATTGTTCAGTGATTTAGTTCTCCAGCGGCGATGCGGGGTATTTTGATTATCCGACGGCGAGGTCATATTATGTTTGGGTCCGGCGGCGAGGTTGGATGTTTGGATTTGATGGCGAGGTCAAATTATGTTTGTGTCTGGCGGCGAGGTTGGATGTTTGGATTTGGCGGCGAGGTCAGATTATGTTTGTTTGACGGCGAGGTCAGACTCTTTAATTCCCCGGCAGAGATGATGTTTGTATGACGGCGATGTCGAGTGTCTCTCAGAGTGATGTTTTGTTTCCGGCGGCGATGTCAGATTCAGTTTTCCAGCGGTGATGTGGGGTATGTCAGATGATGTAGTTCTCCAGCGGCGATGCGGGGTATTTTGATTGTCCGACGGCAATGTCAGATTCAGTCTTCCAGCGGCGATGTTGGATGTTGTGGTTGTCTGAAGGTAATATCAGAAGAATTTAATGTGGATAACTGACGGCAATATCAGATCAGTATTTCTCCAGCTAGTTACCATGCAGCTAGTATTGCAATATTCGAAGATTTGTTCCCCGCAGAGTATCGTGTGCTCGTGCAGTTGGCAAATTTTCGGGTTTACCGGTATTCAACCGTCTCGCACCTTGATTGTCTGAGAGCCGTTCGCTTCTCACCCAGTCAGGTTCAAGTCGTTTGAATAGGGGCAGCTGTTGCACCCCAAAATTTGACCAACATTTATTCATCCATCAAGTGTTTGAAGGTTGATACCTTCATCAGAAAGTTCAAGAGATCCTCAGAGGAATTGGTTAAAACCAAGGTGGTGTGCTTCATAGCTTGAGAGTTGTGGGTGACCCTCAGATGATTCTGAGACTTTGAGAATGAACTTGAAGATTTGAGAAAGTTTGTGAGATGTCTTGAAAGCCATCATGAAGCCCAGAGAGGTCATTATGCAAGAATTCAGAAGATTCAACCATGAATGGTAGAATTAGGGTTTGACTGGGTCAATCCTAGGTCAGCTGAAGATTTGGAGAAGGTTGAGACCTAATCCAAGGGCCATGTGATCATGGAATGATGTATGGAGATGTTATAAAGATGATTCCTAGACCAACTCATCATGATTGAGGAGTTTGAGAAGTTTCAAGTTAGGGTTTCTAAGGATTGTCAGTGAAAAACCCTAATTTGATCCCTATCTTCCAGGCAGTTTTGGCTCAAGATGTGATTGATATCTCATCTTCCCCAAAACATGAATGTTGTAGATATTGTTCTTAGATTTAATTTGAGTGGTAGAAGTCCTTGATAGGATTTGCAGAGCTCAAGTTATGGTTTTTACAAATTACAGGTCAGCTGAGGTATGTGAATCTGGGTCCTTGAAAGTCACCCAACTTGCAGACAACTTTTGCCCTAGTAAGATGATTCCTATGATCTCTTGGTCAACATGAATGTTTAAGAGCATCTTCTTAGATTTATATAGAGTACTAGAAGTCCTTGATAGGATTTGTATAACTCAACTTATGGTTTGAACAAGACAGGGGTATTTTGGTCATTTGGAAGTTATAGATCATTTTAAGAAAAGGCCATATCTCCTATTTCCAAGCCTCAAATGGAAAAACTCAAAACATCAAAGTTGTTCAAAATGGGATTTTAAGCCTAGAAAAGTGGTCATGAGTTATTGGAAAAGCTTGTAGCAAGGATTTACAAGAATGGTTGAAAATGACCTAAAAATGACTTATAACTTAAATGGATCCAAGTTGGAAATTGGTTTGGGAGATGTACAAATCCAAAATAGGTCATCCAATATGTCATTTTGAATCCAAACATCATTTTAAAGACAATGGTTCAAATATATTTTTGATTTGAGTTCTTAAAATGGGGGTTACTTTGTAAAGTTGTTACTTGCATAATAAGAAACCTTTGGAAAACTTGGCATAAGGCAAGGTTAAGCTTGTTTTTTGCACATTCCCTTTCAATATCTCATGTAAATATATTTTGGCACAAAATTAAGAAGTCTTAATGCATGATATGAGATGATACCATATGTCACTTCATGAGAAATTCCAAGACTTTCTAGGGCTTTCTAGATGATTCTAAAAGCTTCTAGGTTTTTCCATTGATGGTTATAAATTGAGAGGCTCACAATGTGATCAAGGGTTGGTGAATTCATTGGTGAAGAGTGAGGGAGAGAAGTGGATTTCAAAGTTTCTTCAAATACAAGCAAGACTTGAATCTTCCATTACAAGCTTCTTCCTTCAAGGATAGTGCAAACAGAAACAAATACTCATTTAGAGGATCCCTTGGAAGCAACTACAAGACTTGAAGCCATCTGTTCACACCTCCACCATCACCATTTGACAGGTTGGTAAGTTGCTCCATACCTCCTTATTTATGTGCTTTCTGTTAGATTTTTAGGTGTATAATGGGCATGCTAGGTTAGTTGATGGTTTTCTGAGAGTTAGAGGAAGATCCATGAGGTTTCATGGCAGGGTGATGTTTCTTCAAGATTCAAGAACAAGTTGTGTATTGAGTTTTAGTGGTCATGTGATAGCATAGAATGATAAGGGCAACGCCATGAGCAAGTTTATACCATTAGAATTAAGCTCTAGCAAGAGTGATACCAGAAGAAAATGGTGGAACCCTAACCTTGATGCATGCTGTTTGGACGATACAAGGCGTTTCAGAGAAAACTATGAGTATGGCTATGTTCCTGGTGACTAGTAGAGCATTTTTGGTTTTAGAATTTTTAAGTTTCATGGCCATATAAGAGAGCACGAGCGTGGAGAAGAGTTATGCATGAATTCTGCTTTTGGCTGAAACCCTAGGTTGAGTTGGAGAAGACGAGTTTTTTACCGTTAGATCATTTTGTTTGTTTGACTTAATCATCTCATCGTGCGGCTCCAGTTTAATTTCAGAAACGGAGGGAAAGACTTGAGCAAAACGCAGCGTTTACTTAAGTGGTGAATCCTGGGCTCAACAATTCATTGTTATTCGCACCCCACCAGCGGCCCAAGTCCATGTTTCAACTAGAATTTGTTGCTATTCCCACCGCAGATTTAATCTTTTTCTTTCAGTTTTTTAATTAATTTTTCTGAAGCGCCTGGGCTTAACTCATTTAATATCTGCACCCCCGGTTTCTTGGCCCATCATAGAAAGTGAACTGGGCGAATTCATTTTGACACCCCCTCCCCATTTATTTTAATTCATTTCTTTTTAATTTCTTTTATTTTCTTGCATTTTGAATAAATCATATAAAATAGGAAAATCAATATTTTTCAATTCTTGTTTTTTCTATAGGTTTATAATTTTGTCTAGAAAATTAATAAAAAATAAAATTCCATTTTATTTTTTCTTTTAATATTTTTAGCATATTATTCATTTAAATAGCTTTTAAATAGGATTAATCTTGTACTTGATTTTGTAGGATTTATTCTAGGACCTTCCCTTAATCTTTTGGAGCCATTCTTTTTGGTGTGATTAGATATTGAATCATAGTTCCCAATAGGATTTAATTCATGATTTTTAGATTAAAATTTGATTAGTTTAATTAGGTTAGCATTAGGGTACCAAATTAGGGTTTAGGTTATGCATAGGTGAGATAATTCATTTTCTTTTGAGAAGTTTTGTCTTGATTTTTGGGTATGGGCATATAGGGATGTTATGGGTAGGTGTTATAGACCCTTGTGAGTGATTGTTAGATTTTTCCCCCTTGCTTTAGTATTTTTAGATATTTTCTGAATAGGATTGATTGTATTGGCTGTCTGTGTGATAATTGCCTATCTCTGGGGTTTATCTTTGGGGGATTGTTGTGGGGCTTGGTTTGTTTTGAAGACCTTGTTGAAGGAGCATGATGAAGGAGAAGATTGAAGATCAAGACCCAGAGACTCAGAGGTTGGAGCTTGTTCTCTGTTTGTGAGGTTTGAGATCCTGAAGTTTGAGGGAAATTCATGGTACTTTCCTGAGGAAGGCACTATGGATATCTTTCATTCTTTCTTCTCACCTCTTTCTTAAGTATCCAATGATGTTGGAGCCTTCATGTGAGTTTAGTTTCTCCTGAGGAGGAACGTAAACTGATCACAGTTGTTGAGCCACATGGGATACAACTCCTAAGTGGAAGCCTCCTAGTACTTTCCTGAGGAAGGTCCTATGGGTCTATTCACTTAGTTCCCTTAGTTCATATAGGATTTATTAAGTATCCAATGATGTTGGAGCCTTCATGTGAGTTTAGTTTCTCCTGAGGAGGAACGTAAACTGATCACAGTTGTTGAGCCACATGGGATACGACTCCTAAGTGGAAGCCTCCTAGTACTTTCCTGAGGAAGGTCCTATGGGTCTGTTCACTTAGTTCCATTAGTTCATTTAGGATTTCTCAAGTATCCAATGATGTTGGAGCCTTCATGTGAGTTTAATTTCTCCTGAGGAGGAATGTAAACTGATCACAGTTGTTGAGCCACGTAGGATATGATTCCTGAGTATAAGCCTCCTAGTGCTTTCCTGAGGAGGGCACTATGAGTCTGCTTACTTAGCTCCCTTTCTTTGGTAAGCTTGTTTTGAAGCTTGAAGACTGGGATTGATTTATTTTGATTAGGGTTTGCTTTATGGCTTTGCTTAGATCAGATTAGAGTTTTGTTTTAGGGTTAGGATTAGAGATTAGATGTAGATGATTTCTTTCTTAAGCATGTGGTTTGTTTGCCTGATGGCATTTCATTTCTTTCATCTGTTTATTGCTTGATAGCATGTTGTTTAGTTTTCAGTATGATTACTGTTATTTCATGACTGGCTTGAGGTTGAGATGAGCTTGTGGAGGCTGAAGCCCCACACACATTTCCTCCCTCACTTGCATTGCATGCATTTTACTGTTAAGCTGATGCTTTGTCTGTTTTTGTGTATCATTGACATGATCCCTTAGGGCTCTCATTTCCTTTGATAAGGATTTGATGATAGACTTTTAGGTTGAAACCTATGCATGACAACTTCTAAGAGTTCCCTGTTCAAACCTCAACCATAGGATGAATCCATGGCATGACAACAGTAGGACTTGATAGTCTCCCTCCTAGTTGGGCCTGTTCTCTTCTCATCTCAAAACAGTTTAAGATACAGTAATCATGAATGATTTCTTTCGTACGTTACGAGCCTTAAGCTATCTGAGAAAGGATTGTGGGAGAGTTTCTTTTCCACAGTCTGGATGTTTAGTATGGTACCCTTTGGGTGACATGCGACGCATTCACTTTCAGGTCATAGTCTCTAGTGCGGTTGAAATTGCAAAAACAATAAAAAACACTTCTTTCAGGAAATAAGCCGTAGTTTCCCGAACTACGTTTGCTCTGATCTTCCATACAGTGTGGAAGTACGTAGGCATAGGATGCGATATCCTAGCGAGCAACCTTCACCCATTTTCCCCTTTCGTAGGCCGAACTACGTTGACTCTGATTTCTCATTCTCTGATGAGAATACGTAGGCATAAAGTGCGACGCTTTGCCGAGTCATTTTTCTTTTCTTTTTCAGCCAGCCTTGATAGGTAGATAGATTATAACCAACCCGTCCAAGTAAACAAACAAGCGTGGATCCCGTCGAGTACGACGGACGTGAGGGGTGCTAATACCTTCCCCTTGCGTAACCGACTCCCGAACCCAGACAATGGTTGCGATGACCTTGTCTTACCCTTTTTCGTCAGGTTTTTCCGATCGTTTCCTTTCCCGCTCTGAGGGATAAATAACGAAAGGTGGCGACTCTTCTGTCATGCCGGCACCTTATTTTCGCGCAAGCGACAAAATCCCACATCCTTCTTCTTCAGAAAACCTAATAAAGAAAGAAAGATTGAAAGAAATGGGTGTATGGGTGTTACCTTAAAAGAGGAAAATTTGGGAGGTTAAGTGTTGAGAGAAAGGGCATGAACTGGTTGAGGATAAAGGCATATGCAAGAAATTGGAAATAATAGAAGAAATCATAAACAAAGAAGAATAAATATGAATTTTCAAATCCAGAAGCAGCGGAAAAAGAGAAGATTAGTAGTCCAAGAACTTCTTATATTCATTTCCACAAAAGTGAATTGTGCAATCTACCACATTAGAAGTGTGAAAGACACCAACGACAGTCAATATCTCATCGATATTGTCCATAACACTTGAGTATCCTAGAATGGAGGGGACATTATTATCAGCTAACATAGGGAGACGTGTCAAGATTTCCATGCAAAAAATCGTTGATAAAGAGAAAGATATATTTAATACATTTTTTTCCTAATGCTAATGATGTCTCATTAAGACTATTCACTTACTTCTGTTAAACATTTGACCTAGAGATGTGCAATGCAAAACCTTCATTCAACATAATAGAAATTAGGGTTTGGGGATAATCGTTAGCAAGACATATCAAACCTCGAGTTGAAAGGCACGCAAAGTAGGTAGACCTTCGTTCTAATCAGAAGCAAACAATTCCATCCTCCAGCACATTAATCATCGTCCAATTCAATCTGATGGTTGTCCGGACAATACACCGCATCATACACGAGCAGTTTCAAATTCATTATTACTCATACATTATTTATGATTTCTCTCGCCGATTTAAAGGTTTGAGTGTTAACATTGCAGGTCAAATCCTTTGCGTCGTATCGAAAGTATTGATCCACCGCAACAAGACACAACTTCTCCATCTCACCTCACATTTCTAGTTCCTAATCGTGCACTTTTGATTCTCTTCCTATTTGGAAAAGTTTCTCGACTCTGTTGCACTCGATTATTTTTAATGGAAATTCTTTGAAAAGTCTCGAATGAATGGGCACACATAAAATTACCTTGTTTATCTTTAAGACAAATCACAAAATTAAAATTTTAAATTATTATAAAATTGTCTCTTTATTTATTAAAGGGTTAAATATGTTTTTGGTCCCTATAAAATTATCAAAGTTTGTTTTTGATCCCTATAAAAAAAAAACATGTTTTAGTCCCTACTGTTAAATCAATGTGTATTTTTGAAGGATTATTTTGCAGATATGTTTAGAACGTTATAAAAAGTTCCTCGGAAAAAAAAGGAACTCAAAATTTGATTTATAAGTTAAAATTTTCATTACATTTATCATTATTTTTTAAAATTTTAAAAAATTCATATTTAATTCTTCTCGTTTTAAAAAAATTATATAATTTAATAAAGAAACATTTTATAGTAATCTGAACACGTATGAAAAAAATTATTCAAAAATTTAAAGATTTAATAATAATTAAATAGTTTCTAAAATTTTAAAAAATAACAAGAAATAAAACTGCATGCATAAAACTTTTGTAAAAACTAAAATATATTTTTTGTTTTATAGAGACTAAAAATTAAATATAAAATATTTATAGAGACAAAAAAAAATTTAATCCTTTGTTAAAAATATAGATATTTCACCTCTTTAGTGTAAACGAAGAGCAAGCAGTCAAAACCTACTTCAACAAAATGATAAAGTTATTTTTTTTTTAACTTAAATAATACAAAAATCCACCTAACTCCTAATCTTCATTGATTAAAGCACCTACTAGTACTAAAAAAAATGGCATGCATATTCCTACTACCATTTTCATACGGAATCTACCAGCATCTTTTTTACTACTAAAAATAGTATATATCCTTTGAGGTTTGAATCGTTGTGTGCTTGAGCATATATCCTTTGAGGTGTGAATCGTTGTGTGCTTGAGCATTAACTTCAATCTTGGGATCTACCTTGTGTTTTTTATTTGTTGACAAAAGATCTACGTGCAGCAACCGCACTCCAACAACACAAGTGTCTTGTTCATGTTCTTATGATGACATAAACTTCATTGCTGCCATGCGCAGCTTCTTCACAAGCTCCTTTATGCTCAATTTGTACCCTTCACCAACCTATCAAATAATAATAATAACAACAATATTTAAATACATGACAAAAGTAGTGATGTAACCAAAATAATTAAAAAATATAGAGAGAAAAATGTTTAGTGGAAGGTAGAGATTGTCCTTTACCTGAGCAATGATAGTAATGTCAAGGATAGAATCACCAAAGGGTAACACACTCGTATTCATAACAAATAATTCTAAACTTTGAATCTCTCCCATCATTTTTACCAAAACTCCCTTCTTCTTTTTGCAATGAATCCGAATTAGCATCTCTTTCTCTAACGCTCTTGCTTCCACTTGTACGAGTGATTCACTCTCGCCACCATCAGCACCTTCGATGTTCTCATCGCATGATGAGGAATCTTCATCGCTACATATGTCTGGTTTATTCAGAACAACCACCGAGTCTGCTTTTGTTTTCTTGTTATGTTCTTCCAAAATTTCCAAACGCTCTTTAAGCTCTTTCACGTATTTAATAGACTCGGCTAATACAGAAGCTTTGTCCATCTAACACATAATAAATTAGTGAGTAGTAGTGTGTGTGAAAGATAATGACAAAAGGGTCGTTGAAATTGATTTACCGTACCTTTTTTAGGTTAGGAACAAGAGCTGCAAGAGCAATGAAACTCTGGCTGAGTACCTCTCTTCGTTTTCTCTCGGCCATGATATGATCCTCAGCGTTAGCTCGAGATCTCTTTGGTTGTGAGGTTTTTGTTTCCAAGTTTTGATTTTTTGATGGCCCTTTTGGAGTTTGAGTTGAAACATGAGTGTTTCCCAACTGGGGTAGTGATGATAGTGAAACTGACCGTGTTTCGTTCGGTTTTGAGTTTAAGGTAGTACTAGTAGGGTCAAATTCATAAAAATGGGGGGTGTTGGTAGCAGGTGAATTTGGGAGGTTTTCAAAAGAGAGAATCTGAGACTGAAAAGAAGAGATAGAAGATGATGGAGATAGTTTCAGTGACATGGTTTCTGCTGTGATGTTTTCATTGTGATCCATGGTTGGTTTCTCAAAACCAAAGTCAAATGACTCAAAATCAGTTTCATCAGTGAATGAGTTGTTGAGAGTGGACTCTGAATTCAAACATTTTTGTTGGTTTTGTTCTTGAAAGACAGTATCTATGTCATGTGAAACAAACTCTAGTTTATCATCAACATCTAGGAAATTCATGTTGCATTCTTCCGGAAAAAAATTGTACTCGTCCATTTCCTGAAAAAAAAATATAAAATGCTAAGGAATTTATATATAATCAACTAGTTGGGAATTTGAAGACATGAAAGGTTAATTTGGGTTTGATTTTCTTACCAAATCCGACAGCCATTTGTTGTTGATTTCCTCCATTGTGACAGTTAAACAAAGAAAAGTGAGTGTTGGATGTTTTGTATGTTCAGAGTTAGTACTTCTCTCTATTTATGCTGAATTGGACTTCACGTTGTTGGAGTTTTATAGGACTATGGTTTTGAGAGACCACAAAGGCAGACACACGTGTGTTTTCTTGAAGAAATTTATAAAAGAAAAGCACGTGTGATCAATAGGAATATATTGCTATATCATTTTTCTAAAACCATTTGTTTTTGTTTTTGATATCAATACAATATATCCTTATAAGATAGATGAATTTCCCTCAACTTGTAACAAACTAGAAAACTATGAATAAGTCCAATTTGGATTAGTTAATATTTTTCTCAAATCTTATAAAATCTATCTTAATATTTTAGATTTTAAATTCGGTAGGGAACTATATTTTTTTAAAAAGACAATGGATTAACCGATACGAGTACAAAGGGTACTTGAATCCTCACAGAATAATTACAAAATCTTCAAACAAAAAGCAGGTTTATTAAACCATACAAAAGGAATGTTAGAAGAATAGGGCTTATAAGCCATCCATCCCCAACCAATACCAAGTAGTTATAATAGAAACTCACTATGTTCTCTATTGAAAATTCTGAGCCTTGAAAAATGAGGTCGTTACGACCCTTCCAAATATGCCAAACCGTAGCAGCCCACACGACCAAACCAATCACTACGCCAAAAATTGTTTTTAATAGCGCTTTTTCACCTTTAATAGTGCTATAAAAGTCCCGGCTATTATAAATCTGATACATATAATAGCGCTTTGAAAACACTATTAAAATGAGTGTTTTTAATAGCACTTCATTATACGCCAAATTGTGTTAAATATGTGTGTAGTTTGTTGGCACTTATTGGCTTGATTCATTGATTTTTCTAGTGAAAACTTAGAATTTGGTGTGAATATGTAATCATTTAGTATTATAGTGTAGTTTTGTGTAAATATCACGTAATTTTATCATTTTCATCTCACTTTGTAGGTTTCTTTGCATGGTTGAAGCAATGGATGCTTACAAGAAAAAGCAAACACTTTCAAAAATGCATTTTTGGAAGAAATTGGTTTTTTGCATGGGCTAAGCACACCTTGTAGCACGCTACAGGATGGCTTGAAGTGGTGTTTTGCATTAAAAACTAGGCTTAGCCCCATATTTTGGGCTTAGCCTCATATTTTGGGCTTAGCCCGGTTCCACTTTTTTGGCTTTGTATTTATATAGTTATTCATAGATATGTTGGATCCAAACTTATCTCTCTTCATTCCAAACATATTATAGAGAGAGAAACATAAACCTTAAGGGGGAGAAGCTCAAATCCAAGAAAATCAGAGTTTGATCTTCGAGTAAGTGTTTCAATCTCTTGTTGGGGTTGGTTGTAATGTATTGATACCTTATGTATTTCTTCTAATCTTTGTATTGTGAACTAGTTTTGATTCAATAATGATGTTGTCTTTGATTTCATATTTATGGGTTTGAGTGGGTATTGAGAAATCTATTTCAAATACTAGATCAAAGATATTCATTTATCAATGAGCAAACTCTAGGCATAGATTTGTGAGTTGATATTCACTAGTATCAAGCTTTTATATTATTGTGTTGATTATTAGCATGAGACATCATCTAGTGATTAATATGGTAAAGCCCATGATAACGCTTTAGACATAAACTGTATTGTGAGGATGCGTGATAATAGAGATGAGGAGCTATGTTCACATACATAAATTAGTTGAATACATGATAAAAAAAAAGGGTTAATCATGTGTATGTATTCTGATCATGGAATTGTATATGACATATACTCTTCAGATTCGGATTTAGGATATGCATCTGTTAGGTTATGAGTTCTAGAGATAGATTTAGATCTAAAGTTCACCATGAGTATCGAATCTTAGTGCTGCGTATTAGTAAGTTGCATGAGACATCTCTGAGGAAATAATTCGGTAGAACTCTCGTCAGCGCTTCAGAAATGAACACGGATGTGAGTGATACATGATAGTATTAGACGAATGATTGATCTATGTATAATTAGTCAGAAGAATGCATGTGTTATCAATTGATGAAATCCCAATCCACACAAGGCTCCGTTTATTTTAAGTATTTACTTTATATTTTTCGTCTTTATATTTTCCACTTTTATCAATTGTGCCTTTAATCTTTCAACCAATTTGTCACAACAAGCTTAGAAACGTAGAAATCGTTGAACGACATTTAATATCGTACCAATCCCTGCGGAAACGACAAAATTAGATACTTACTTAATTTTGCTTTAAAGTTTCAACAGTCAACAATTATAAACTTAAATGGCTTCGGCCCCCAATCTACACTACTAGCTTTCAACTATATTAGATAGTGGTCAGAGATGTCCCTTTTTACCGACAATCTGACCAACAATCTTCAAATCTACACTAAACTTTCTGATAGAAGGAACCGATCAAGCATGCTCATAGAGGATCCCCCACCACTAAACCACGTGAAAACCCTTCGTACACTAGGAACATAAATACAATCTAATTCTACAATGAAGCCTCGAAATTCCAATATTTTTCCTCTACGACCACCAGCACTAACACCTTTCCTCTCATTATCGCTAACAACCGCGTTAAAGTCCTCTCCAACTATCTAATTCCCTCTGTTAAACCTTGTCTTTAAAGCAACCAGCTCACTCCAACACTTTCTCTTTAAAGGAAGCAAGCAAGGAGAATACACATTAACAAAGAATAAATCTTGTCATTTCCAAATTGCATTAACACCCACAAACCCGAACGCCCTGAAACTGAATGACAGGTTGAGAATTCCCTTTCTCCATAAAATGAAAATTCCCCCCGATGCCCCGCAAGCTCTTGATTTCGTCCACTCAATATTAGAATCTCCCCGCGACGAAGTTTCCATCTCCAAATCCGTTACAGCTAACTTAGATTCCTAAACAAAGCACACATCTACCTTACCCGATTGAATTAAATGAGTAATTATCCTCCTTTTGACCATACTTCCACCTCATTTGATATTAATGGATAATATATTAATTAGGCAGATCTTGAATTAAACTCCATTTTTGTCATGCCTTATTTATCCCTGGATTCTAGCAATCTGATCTCATCTACCAAATGATCTTTTCCTTGACCCCCATAAACACCAAGAGAAGACATGATCTCTAGAATTTTCACCGAGACCTTTAGTTATAATTCCGCTTAGAATCTCTTGTTCCCTTCAAAGACTTGAATATGTTACCGAATGAATTCTCGAATCAGAATCGACTGATCTTGATACCCTCACTTCCTTCTTCTTCTTCGAATGAGAGGAGGGTGAACCATTATTGCCACTATTCTAAAGAAGAGAAGAGATTTTGTTTCTTCGGGCACACTTTGTTGAGAAAGAATTGACCAGAGGCTCAGTCTCATGAGCATTAATTGGTTGGGAACACAGAGTACTATTAAGGGCCAAATTGTGCATATTTTTTATAGTTTTTTTGTGGCACTTTCCAATTGTTTTTTTGGTAATTAATTAGTAAATCCATATGTTTTGGTGTAAATACGCAAGTTTTGGATTATGCATGTAAATATCTTAAATTGTGATCATTTTGATGCTTTTTGATAGGTTTTCTTTCCTAATGTGATGCTTGGAGCCTTTGGATGTTGGAAGAAGGTTTGGAAGATCACTTTTATGGAAATTTGATGGAAAACCGTGCTTAGCTCATTTTCCACCGCGAGTTCAGCACGCTTTTGGACCAGAGGCAGTAACTAAGGAAGTAAAAACAACTAGCCAAACCAAAGGAAGCAGGGAGAGGAAACATATCTTTTTATAGCTTTTCAGAGTAGTATATTTATTAAAGAGTGGGAGTGGATGAAAAACTCGAGAAAATTTTCCGTTTTTGAAAAACCAAGTTTTGTTGATGACGCTTAGTGCGACCAGAGGGCGCTTAGCGCACTCTGCTTTGCAAGCAAAAATAGCTCATCCATTTATCCACTTTCACCCTGGTCTTTTGACCCATTTTGAACTTATATTGTTTCATGTTTAGTAGTAATTTAATTTAAAGTTATTAAGTTGTTACAAACTTGTTTTGTGTTTGTCCAAAAAGCTTTTTTTTTATTTTCTTGAAGAGACATGCGGTGATTGTTCAAGTTTAAGTGTGTTAACTTGAAACTGTTACAGTAATGATAAAAGGTTGAAAAAAAAGTTGCATTGTCAAGGTATGTGTTTAGTGTTTTCTACAACAAAACATGAACATGAACTTTAGGCTTTATACAAATAACACGTCATTCATTCTCTTGCAATTATTGTTCATTTCTGATTAGTTCATAGCCAAATGTGAGGAAATCGTCCATTGTTTACAAAATGTAACGGAGACCAACATCTTTATTTAACTCGTTTGATTTATGTATAATCATGCATGTGTGTTGATTTGTGTGAAAGAAATAAAAGTATCAAGGAATTTTTTTGTATTATGACAAAAACCACTTTAACAAATAAAATGATCAATCTACCTTTTGAGTGAGCATGCATTTGTCATCCCCATTGAGCCTTTCTATCAAGATACATATTGATAATTGAATTGTGTAAATATTGTACATGAAAAAAAATTGAATTCTAGAATGGATCTTGATTTTTTTGGGAAACCTTTGAACCTTAACCATAAAATGTGGTTGTTGTTGTTGTTCCTTGCCTTAGATGTGTGAAAGCACTCTTGACACCATGTTGGGTTGTATTCAAAATAATGAAAGAGCTTGAAAAAGAAGCAATGAAAAGAGAAAAATGAAAAAGAAAGAAAATTAGGTATGATATTGCCAACAAATGAGCTCAAGGTTGTAATGATGCCTTAAAGAAAAGAAACCAAAAGGGTTAAGGTCTTGGATTATGTATGAATGTGAGAATTTAATGCTCTCATAGGATTAGGCGTTTTTGTTTCTATGACTTTGATAAATGACCCTTCCTTGTAGCCCAAGCCAAATTACAACCTTTGAAGTCCTTGTGATTCCTTCTTTTGTACTCATTAATGCA